CATTTGTCTCCATTCATCTCCTATCAAACACGCTCACGCATGCCTGCTGGAAGTCCAAGCCCCTCGCACACAAAACCTCCTTACCCCCTCCCTCCAACCCTTCCTAGGCCGACCCCTACCCCGCCTTCCTCCACTACAGACTGATAACACTCTTGAAGTCATTCTGTTTCGCTCCATTCTCTCTACATGTCCGAACCACCTCAAAACCTCCTCAGACCCTCTGACAACAGTTTTGGTAATCCGCCACCTCTCCTAACTTCCAAACTACGAATTCTCTGCATTATATTCACACCACACATTGCCCTCAGACATGACATCTCCACTGCCTCCAGCCTTCTCCTCGCTGCAACATTCATCACCCACGCTTCACACCCATATAAGAGCGTTGGTAAAACTATACTCTCATACATTCCCCTCTTTGCCTCCAAGGACAAAGTTCTTTGTCTCCACAGACTCCTAAGTGCACCACTCACTACTTTTTCCCTCATCAATTCTATGATTCACCTCATCTTTCATAGACCCATCCGCTGACACGTCCACTCCCAAATATCTGAATACATTCACCTCCTCCATACTCTCTCCCTCCAATCTGATATTCAATCTTTCATCACCTAATCTTTTTTGTTATCCTCATAACCTTACTCTTTCCTGTATTCACCTTTAATTTTCTTCTTTTGCACACCCTACCCAAATTCATCCACCAATCTCCTGCAACTTCTCTTCAGAATCTCCCAAGAGCACAGTGTCATCGGCAAAGAGCAGCTGTGACAACTCCCACTTTGTGTGTGATTCTTTGTCTTTTAACTCCACGCCTCTTGCCAAGACCCTCGCATTTACTTCTCTTACAACCCCATCTATAAATATATTAAACAACCACGGTGACATCACACATCCTTGTCTAAGGCCTACACTTTACTGGGAAAAAAATTTCCTTCTTTCCTACATACTCTAACTTGAGCCTCACTATCCTCGTAAAAACTCTTCACTGCTTTCAGTAACCTACCTCCTACACCATACACTTGCAACATCTGCCACATTGCCCCCTATCCACCCTGTCATATGCCTTTTCCAAATCCATAAATGCCACAAAGACCTCTTTAGCCTTATCTAAATACTGTTCACTTATATGTTTCACTGTAAACACCTGGTCCACACACCCCCTACCTTTCCTAAAGCCTCCTTGTTCATCTGCTATCCTATTCTCCGTCTTACTCTTAATTCTTTCAATTATAACTCTACCATACACTTTACCAGGTACACTCAACAGACTTATCCCCCTATAATTTTTGCACTCTCTTTTATCCCCTTTGCCTTTATACAAAGGAAATATGCATGCTCTCTGCCAATCCCTAGTACCTTACCCTCTTCCATACATTTATTAAATAATTGCACCAACCACTCCAAAACTATATCCCCACCTGCTTTTAAACATTTCTATCTTTATCCCATCAATCCCGGCTGCCTTACCCCCTTTCATTTTGCCTACTGCCTCACGAACTTCCCCCACACTCACAACTGGCTCTTCCTCACTCCTACAAGATGTTATTCCTCCTTGCCCTATACACGAAATCACAGCTTCCCTATCTTCATCAACATTTAACAATTCCTCAAATATTCCTTCCATCTTCCCAATACCTCTAACTCTCCATTTAATAACTCTCCTCTCCTATTTTTAACTGACAAATCCATTTGTTCTCTAGGCTTTCTTAACTTGTTAATCTCACTCCAAAAACTTTTTCTTATTTTCAACAAAATTTGTTGATAACATCTCACCCACTCTCTCATTTGCTCTCTTTTTACATTGCTTCACCACTCTCTTAACTTGTCTCTTTTTCTCTCATTACTCTTCCCTCCTTGCATCACTTCTACTTTGTAAAAACTTCTCATATGCTAACTTTTTCTCTCCTTACTACTTCTCTTACATCATCATTCCACCAATCGCTCCTCTTCCCTCCTGCACCCACTTTCCTGTAACCACAAACTTCTGCTGAACACTCTAACACTACATTTTTAAACCTACCCCATACCTCTTCGACCCCATTGCCTATGCTCTCATTAGCCCATCTATCCTCCATAGCTGTTTATATACTTACCCTAACTGCCTCCTCTTTTAGTTTATAAACCTTCACCTCTCTCTTCCCTGATGCTTCTATTCTCCTTGTATCCCATCTACCTTTTACTCTCAGTGTAGCTACAACTAGAAAGTGATCTGATATATCTGTGGCCCCTCTATAAACATGTACATCCTGAAGTCTACTCAACAGTCTTTTATCTACCAATACATAATCCAACAAACTACTGTCATTTCGCCCTACATCATATCGTGTATACTTATTTATCCTCTTTTTCTTAAAATATGTATTACCTATAACTAAACCCCTTTCTATACAAAGTTCAATCAAAGGGCTCCCATTATCATTTACACCTGGCACCCCATATATTCGTGCCGAATATGTAAAACTGGTCAATTAGCAAGAACTCATTTAAAATTAAGTCCTTTCTGAAATTTTCTCTTATGCCTTTAAAGATATATTTTTTTCATTAATGTTAATGCAAAATTTTTTAATTTTGCACCAAAAGAATCTTAGAAAACTTACCTAACCTTATTATAACAAGAGCAATTTATTTTAGCCTAACCCAACTAAATATATTTCAGATTTGTTTACAATAATTTAATACTAAACAAACCAAGTGAAATAAATTTTTTTCGTTAGGTTCAGAATGATTTTGGCGAAATTATTGCATACACAAATTTTCACTTGTTCTATATGGCAAGATGAACGTTACTATTTAAGAAAAGATCGCAAGTTCTGCCTATTCGGCACGACATATAATATATATATATATATTATATATATATATATATATATATATATATTATATATATATATAATATATATATATTATATATATTACATTATGGTGCGGATCGAGGCGAGAAATGCAGCTGCACTAAAATTTGTGTATTATCATTTATATTAATTATAATATATATTAATTGTTACAGTCATTGGGAAGCGATGAGAAATGGGAGGTAATCACGTTGACCCAAAGGGAAGTTGCACTTCCTTGGATCAAGAGCACTTCACAAGCCTTCTGCGGTCAATACCAAAAAATTAACCTTTCCGGCGTACATACTCGCCATGGAAGAAGAGCTCTTGATCGAAGGGATTAGAGCTACCCTGTTGTACGACTTCCGTGGGCTTAGCGCTCTCCGAAATATTTAATATAAATTAATAATTATAATATAAATAACTTAAAAACTCCAAAACTTCTCTGGTTTTGTAAAATAACGACCTGTCCGCAGTATATTATTATTATTATTATTATTATTTATTATTATTATTACATTCACGGGGAGGGGGGGAAAGCTGGACCCGTGGGAGTCTTACAACGCTTGGGGAATGGGAAGCAATTAGATTCCATTTAGGAAAGAGGAGGACAACTCCAGTTCTCAGGATCAAGAGTCCTTAACAAGCATCAAGACATCCGTAAAGATCCATAGTGAAGAACTATGAATCAGTGAAACATCAAGAAATGACATCAATTTACATAAAAGTGTTAAAACTTTGGTTGTGGTCTACAGCAGTGTTGATACAAAAAAAAAAAAACAGCGCTGTAAATAGCAATACGTAGATTCAATTTCAAAATCTAACAAGGTTTTAAGACTCCCAGAGTTGCAGAGTTATACTGACCATCTCCGTGAATAATAAAGTCACAATACCGTTGCTGGACCAGTTTTAAAACCCGTGCTTTGGAGAGGAACCTTATACCGAGTTTCGGTCCGTCCTGGTCCACTGCCAATAGTTCTGGACCGAGCGAAATGTCATAAGCCTCCTTTTCTAAGTGAAAAATAATAAACATTGATACATAGAAACTAAAGATAAATTCCACTGATTAAATTATTCATGAGTGAACTTCATATTTTTTTCTTAGTCTTGGTTAATTTGTCAAAAGTCTTAACACGTCGGGAGTTTTAGCAAGACTTAACTTTTGGAGATAAATGGAAAAGTAATTTATTAAATCCATTCAGGTATATACACCGTATTTTCCCGTTGTATATACACCGAAAAAAAGCTAGTTTCCTTGTATATACGCTGTTCTTAATTTTTACTGTATATATACCATGTTTTCTTAATTTTTAATGTATGAATTCACTCCCTATATTAGGGATTAAGGTCTGTTATATGGCTGGTAATTATGGTGGGTTTGAGGGTTTAGTGCTCCTGTCTAAAACCCTTCAACCTAACAATCTATATAGAAGATTATTAATATGTTAAAAAGACACAACATGCGGTTTATTGTATTGAGAAGACGTTTCGCCCACGTGGGACTATCAACCGATAAAGTTCCTGTGGGCTAAACATCTCTGTAATAAAATATCATATATTGCATGGCTTATTAACATACTTTTTCAGTACATATTACCGTTGTTGTACAGGGTTACTGCCGTTTTGCTCAACGAAGTTGTTAGGCATCAAGTATACTTGATTCCACGACACACATTAAACCAAACTCTCAGTCTACACATAATGAAACTCCACCGACGCCAGTACTTTGTAAATCTATATTCAGAAATGACACTGAATATGACGTTAATAAATTCCGTAATTCCCCCTCTCCTTCCAAAAAAAAAAATAGTTTCGGGAATTGAAAAAAAAATGCATTTTATTTAATTAGGCAATTTAAGTTGCAATAAAGAGTGAAGTAGCTGTCGTGGTGTGAAAATCAATAGACATGGCGGCGCTGGCAAGAAAGCCCCCCTCCCCTTGCTCGCTCAAAGGATTTTTACGATAAAATAACAAAGGTAAAGGAAGGGAGGCGAGCTGGTGGTACACAACCCCCCTTGGCTAATGTTAAGACCCTTTCTGAACCTCTAAAACTACTTCCTCCTTAATTTATCATCTTTAGAGAACTGATAAAAATAACGTACGCGCTGAAGGAGTCAGACAATGTGGTAGGGACTATCTTAATTAAGAGTGTTGTGTTGAGGGACTCACCTAGGGGCGGTAAGCCAGGGGAGGTAGCGTGTCGCAGCCCTGACGCCGCTGCCGCAGCAGCTGCCGCCGCCGCCGCCGACCCTCTGGACATGATCGCCGCTATGGAGAAGTCGGTGGCACGGGGCTTGCACCCAGACATAGCTTCTTCCAGACCTCCGGCAAGCATTACTGACGCAGAAGCACGGCCGTATACACCCACAAGGTGCCTGTGTGGCCACCCACACCGCAGAGAGCAAATATTGGTGGGCCTGGTGCTTCTGCCGTCGCTGCTGGAGTGCTGCAGGGCAAATGGTGGCTCCTCTGGCCTTAGTATGCCTCTGCCAGCGGTTCCTCACACACAGGGAGTTGCTGATTCAGCCGTCAGCTCTCCTCACCTTTCAAGCAGCGGCTTGTATTTACCCCCCCACCACGCGCTAAGTAGTTTGTTTATGCGAGAGCAAATTTCCCGTATTGCACCTGCGCAGTCTAGCGTTTCGAGTCAAAAATGCGAGATATTCGTTTCCTTGAAGCGCATTGGTTTATGAGAACCTGAGTTCCTAAGCTACACTGAGGAGGTGGGATGCCAAGTCACAGCTACGAGATTGGTACATCACTGACACCTCATATTCCACTAATTAGATGGCAACAAGTGAGGTTCAAGTGTCCACCCGCTGTACAGAGTGATCACCAACTGATGAACAGTCAGGACTATGAGGTGGTGTGGCTGGCTGGAGGCGGGACCTTCCGAGCTCCTCCCAACATATTGTTGTCGCTACTCGCTCGCTCCTCCCAGCTAACTAAAATCTTCCTCTTTTACCATAGAACCCACTAGCAAAAAAATCACACAATCATACATTTCTTCTGCAGCGCCTGGTAAAATACACACGCATAATAACACTCAGCAAAGAGAAAAAGGAATAACTCAGATTTGTTATTACAATTGGCTGATAAGTTGAGCAAACAATCAGTAGTTTTGGTCGGGCCAACCAGAGCATCTCCCTGACGGAGAGCCAAGTGTTGGCTGCACCAATGATCGCCTCAACTCCTCCACCGGGAGGAGCTACAAGAATGATGAGCTCCAAGTTCACTATTATTTTCCGCTCCACGTGATAACATATTTATTCTCCATCTCATTATTAATAATCATACACCTCACAATAAAATACAAGTCATAGTGTATCAGAGGTCTGAGAGAGCCGATCAAGAGGGCGTAATAATTCACGGATAAGCCAGAGGAAATGAGAATAAAGAGGGAAGAAGGCAACTCTGGCGATAAGTGAAAAGCTCTCGCAAGTCGTCGGTGGTGGAAGGTTGGTCAGCACACATGATCTGAGACCTCGCCAGCCCACACATTCTCTCACTCAACTACTACACACCTTGTTCCCCCTCCCCTCCCTCCCTCACAGGGCCCCACCCGCTACCCCACCACCATTCCCCTCAACCAACTCTGGCCCAGCGCCCCCCCTCCTTCTTTCTCACCCCCTTTTACATCGACACAATTTCTTAACCCATTTTGAACCAGTTTTTCTGACCGGTTCGTTAAATTTAAAGCCCATTAAGTGTACGATAATCATAAAAGCTGCATTTCAACTTAACTCCACCACTTAAAAACACTTTGATCCCTAAAATCAAGATTACAGTAAATTCAGAGTATATACACATACAACTATGGATTTATATACATAACCCTTGCTCGAAACATTAATTTATGTAGAGTACTTTTATGTAATAACCTTTAAATTTTCCACCGTTTCTACCTTGTATTTTATATGCTATTAAATTTGCAGCTAGATCCAAGTGAATTTTGTTATGACATGAATAAATTTGTATGCAACATTGGAAAGGTTTATATATATATATTATATATATATATATATATATATATATATATATATATATATATATATATATATATATATATATATATATATACTTCAGTGCTCATCTGCTTTATGTTCTTTTATCCTCCTAATTGATAATTTTAATAGATTATCTGTACGTGCTCTCTCGTAATTATTATCTCGTCTTCCAGGTCTAGTTCCTTCAGTTTTCATCGCTCAGACACCAGCTTGAGACTAACACCAGCTTGAGACTAACATACACCAGCTTGAGACTAACATACACCAGCATGAAACTAACATACACCAGCTTGAGACTAACACCAGCTTCAGACTAACATACATCAGCTTGAGACTAACATACACCAGTTTGAGACTAACATACACCAGCTTGAGACTAACATATACCAGCATGAGGCTAACATACACCAGCATGAGACTAACACCAGCTTGAGACTAACATACACCAGCTTGAGACTAACATACACCAGCTTGAGACTAACATACACCAGCTTGAGACTAACATACACCAGCTTGAGACTAACATATAACAGCTTGAGACTAACATACACCAGCATGAGACTAACATACACCAGCTTGAGACTAACATACACCAGCTTAAGACTAACATACACCAGCTTGAGACTAACATACACCAGCTTGAGACTAACATACACCAGCTTGAGACTAACATACACCAGCTTGGGTCTAACATACACCAGCTTGGATCTAACATACACCAGCTTGAGACTAACATACACCAGCTTGAGACTAAACACCAGCTTGAGACTAACAGACACCAGCTTGGGTCTAACATACACCAGCTTGGATCTAACATACACCAGCTTGAGACTAACATACACCAGCTTGAGACTAACACCAGCTTGAGACTAACAGACACCAGCTTGGGTCTAACATACACCAGCTTGGATCTAACATACACCAGCTTGGGTTTACCATACACCAGCTTGGATCTAACATACACCAGCTTGGGCTTAACATACACCAGCTTGGGTCTAACATACACCAGCTTGGGTCTAACATACACCAGCTTGGGTCTAACATACACCAGCTTGGATCTAACATACAGCAGCTTGGGTCTAACATACAGCAGCTTGGATCTAACATACAGCAGCTTGGATCTAACATACACCAGCTTGGATCTAACATACACCAGCTTGGATCTAACATACACCAGCTTGGATCTAACATACACCAGCATGGGTCTAACATACACCAGCTTGGGTCTAACATACACCAGCATGGGTCTAACATACACCAGCTTGGGTCTAACATACACCAGCATGGGTCTAACATACACCAGCTTGGGTCTATGAATGGTTCAAAGCTGTTTATCAGTGGTTAGAAGTATTTGTTCTCAGCAAATCTTGAAAAATCTTATACAACTCACTAAACAATTTTGTTATTTTTCTAAAGAAGGGGGAGGGAGAGGGATACCTCGAAGTCGGCAAAAGGTTCTTGGTCCACAGAATTGGAACCATTCTAATGTTTAGATGAAACCTGATTACCTCCCATTCCTCAGGGTTTAGCGATTCCTCAAGATTATATGTCATGCCCAATAGGTAAAACTTGCGATTTTGGCTTAAACAGCAACGCTGTTCTTGCCGAATAAGGCAAGCGAAAATTTGTGCATGCAATAATTTCGCAAAAATCATTCGAACCTAATATATTTAGTTGGATTAGGCTAAATTAAATTGTGATTTTTATAATAGGGTTAGGAAAGTTTTCTAAGGTTCTTTTGGTACAAAATTAAAATTTTTTTACATTAACATAAATGAAAAAAATATGTATCTTTAAACATATAAAAGAAATTTTTAGAAAGGACTTAATTTTAAACGAGTTCTGGCTAATTGACGAGTATTATTTGTTCGGCACAACGTGTGTGTTAGTGTGTTGTGTGTGTGATAGTATATATGTAAATTATATGATGTTATGATATATATGTATATGTATATATATATATTATATTAATATATATATATATATATATATATATATATATATATATATATATATATATATATATATATATATTATATATAATATATATATATATATATATATAATTATATATATATATATATATATATATATATATATATATATATATATATATATATAAAAGGTTTCTAAGTTAGGTTTGGTCCAAGAATAAAACATTTTATATTAATGCCAATGAAAAATATATTTATCGACCTGCAAAAATTTTTTGGGAAAAAAGTCCAATTTTTATGAGACGTCGGCATATTAGGAATTTTTCTGACTGTTGACAACTACCGTCAACAGGATGCATATGAGGTACATAATAAACTAGCCACTACCATCCACAGGATGGATATGAGGTACACAATAAACTAGCCACTACCATCCACAGGATGGATATGAGGTACACAATAAACTACTTATGGCAGTGAATGTAAATCTAAATGTTTAATTAATGTGTAGTGTTATGAGGATGTGCTCTGTGATAAATTTAGGAAGCTTTTTCTCAACCAATATATTACTTTTATTATTTATATTATGCTTATTACTGTTAGTATTATTATTTTTCTTATAAATTTTTATCAGCCCTTTTTTCCTATGTTATTATACGGTCTATTTACAGATAGGTGAACCATATAACACAAGGAAAGATATCCCGTATCCCGAAAGCCCAACTCCCTCCACCTCAGTGATCCGAGAAAGGTATTTCTACATACCATACTCCTGCTCCCCTCTGCTTCGGTGATCTGTGAAGGGTATCCCTGCATCCCCTAAGCCAGATCCTCTTTATGTTAATTAAGCGAGAATTAAGCGCAGTTCCCTCTACATCAATTTTGCGATAATATTCCCTTATTCTCTAAGCCCAGCTTTCTCTACCTCAGTGATTCGCGAAAGAAACGGTACATATCAGTTTCCAATGCAGTTAAGTATCAGCAGTGAAGAATTTGAAAACAGTCAGAAGATGCAGTCACAAGTTATCACATGGAAGTTATCATAATTTCTTAAAATGATGAATTAGCAACTCCAGCCCAAACTCAGTTCTGACCTTCTACCAAGATACACCAGTTTTGAAAGTTTAGAGCCACTCTGAAAAGGCATTGTCTAGTTATCATACAAAGATCAATATCACAGAAACTAATATTTTAAAGTCTGAAGCGGCTCAGAAGTTGTGCATGTTGAAGCTCAGAGGACAATCGAATGAGAAATTCACAAATTATCGCATAAAAACCAGTATTTCAATTTTCCGAATATCTTCAATAACATTAGGAAATTGGAACGTATACAGCCCAAAGTTAATTCAAATCTTTAAGAAAAATACAACAACTTTTAAGGTTTGAAGCCAATCAGAAGAGGTATTGTCCAGTTATTGCACAGAAATCAATTTGAAATTTAACCCAAAAATATATGCAAAGCTTCCTGTGAGAAACCTTTTTATGTTCTGGAAAAAACATACCAGCATTAAAAGTTTAAAACAGACCAGAAGACTCATTCCCTAGTTAATGTCAAGACTCCAACAATTCAAGTTTAATAACTACATGCATGGTAGTCAACTGAAAAATCAGAAGACATTATTCTTTTTTATATAATGACTCAGCTGTTAAAGAACGAAGACGTTGACAAGAAGCATACTAAATTTATTTCAGTAAAATATAATATTTTTGAAAATATATTTGTATATATGTTGGTAGAATTACCGACAATATGTAAAGTATAAGGACACAAGATCAACTAATGTGACATTTTATTGTGGCAACGTTTCGCTCTCCAGGCTTGACAAAGCTCCTGGAGAACGAAACGTTGCCACAATAAAATGTCACATTAGTTGAAAATCTATTTGGTAAATTTGCATCTACATACTCCAAAA